ATATATATATATATAGAATAGCGGTGTCATCACATAATGCAATCCAGATGAGCCAAAGTTGTCAAGGGAAAAAGGTGTAATCCACTGCAATGACAAGTAAAAATAGAAAATGCATTGATTAAACATTTGACTCGTAGAGGGGTGCGCAATTATAAGCTTCTAATTTCAAAATTGGAAATGTCCATATAAACATGGATTACGGCGAAAAGGAATTCCAGCACCGACGATTAAAATACTGGCTTTAAACTTCTTTTAAAAAAAAAATTGTTTCCCTTGTGGCAATGGAAGCAAATATACCAAATCATCATGATTCATGTGGATAAACTTAAACTTAGTGAATTAAAAAAAAAAAAAGGAGGTTTATAGTCTGTGTCACCCTCATCTACCAGTCATCATGGTGCTAAAAATTTGGGGCCAATTCCAAAACTAGTTGGAGACAAAGCAACAGTTCATATTATGGATTCATTATCTAGATTTGCTTTCCATTATGTTGTGTAGCAGTAAAAGGAAGAACAAACAAAAAAGTGAAGAGTACTTGCATTCCATACTTGGATTTGGCATGGAAATGGAATGGAAGAAGTTAAAACTGCAAAAAAAAAAAAAAAAGGTTGAGTGGTTACCCATGAAAATAAAAGATCATCAGATGAGACCTAACAACCACAATTTATTTGGTTTTATATCCATCTGAAACAGGAGAAAATGCCCACCATTACTCTAGCTTTTTTTTAAGGAATGATTTGAAATTGAAAGGTTTTCTTTCTTCTATCAGAGAAACTGAGATTTCTTCTTTTTTTCTTTTTTTCTTTTTTCCAGAAATTGGGATATCTGTTAACAAAAAACTTGGTTCGTTTTATTTTGGGTTTCAACATTGAAACTTCAAATAATCAAAGCCCAAACTCAATTTGTATGAGTGAGGCCTGACCCAGACATCAGCCCTGAAATATCAGAAGAAGCCAGGGTCGAAGGAATTGGGCCTTATCAAATGTTTCAAATATTTGACACTTTAAAAAATATTAAAACAGAGAAGTGTTTTACACTTCAACTCTAATATATAAATTTGCTAAAATATCTCTAATAGAATTCTACTTTATATTATGAGATTAGTGTTTATTTACCTTTTTTTTTTTTTAAAAAAAAAATAACTCTAAAACATTTCAATAAAGCACCACAGTAAAGAACCAAAAAAATTGTAATTCATACATTAAAAATAGAGTATTTGAGTCTTTTTCAATAAAAATTTATTAAAATAACGTAATTTGATGATAATTTTTTCTCTAACATTTAGGAGATAAGACAGATAGACACCATTCTCTTATATTATTCCATTAATGAAATTTTAATAATTTTAGTGCTTGGATAACATAATAT